CAAGTTGCTGCTGCCACCGCAAAACAAAAAGGACGGCCGCAATGCTATTGATGCGGCAAAAAAGGACACCATTCGGCTGATTGTCCTAACCAACAAAACAGGGTCAAGTTCAAAAACTCCACTAAACAACCCAAGGCGAGCACGGGAGCAACTTTGGTGGCAACGTTGGGTAACTACACCTCAGGAGATGAAGATGACAGCTTCAACGAAGAAATTGACGTCTGGGGATGAAAAAGGGCTAATAGTCCCTGCTATCATTTTATTTGTAGTACGCACAACTCCGGTGCACGCTTAGGGTTAATTTTTATTGTCTGCTTGTTTTTTGAGTACAGATTCTGTCGTGGGTTCTTCCTTCTCCCTGCATACGTAAAATCTCTGACCTGGTTAAATCTATTATTTCTGTCCCCTCAAGAGTCTTTTTTTATACTACAAGCTACACAAGTATAATTTTTTTACTCTGATTTTCATCAACATGATTTGTTTTCAGCAAGGGGGTGTGTTGGAATGCTTATAGACTAGTATGCTTCTATCAAATCTCGTGTTGTATATAGTCTAAGCCGACCCTGATACAACACTCTCTCTTCATTGAATTCAAACCACATCTTTGCTCTTGTTCAGTCACTGTCACAAGATCTAGCATCTGTGACTTTTAGTTCCTTGACCTGGTCCACCTCAACAGAAACCTTGTCAAGTTACACAACCTTTAGCTCTCTCAATTTTTGAGCTACACATGTGTTTCTGCTGGGGAAGTTCTTCATTAGAACCTTACCTTTGCTTCTACCAACTCAGTTTTGCAAAAAATATTGTCAAACAATAAAGCAAAGAAGAAAGATGACTTGCCAATTTCTCATGCTCAAGCTTGCAGCCTCAAGCGCGGAAGTATGGATAATTTCTTGACTCCATTCAAAATTCACTTAAGATAAACATGTTGTTATTTCAACAAGGTGATGAGTTCTAAAAATTGAATTGTTACACAAGAGTCAACCGTTGCTAGCTGAGGCGGACAGCTTGTAAACTACAGGCTGGAAAATTCAAAGAGTGAATTTCCAGACTGTTTTGGTGAGTGGGCTCAGGCAAGCACCCCCACATAGTTTGTAAGTCCCTCCCTGCGGGAGGGGGTGGCTTTGCCACCAGCCAAACTTAAGCACCACCCAAATCCGACCTCCCGCACCGGGAGGACTTTGTTAAGTTAGGCTGGTTTAGGAGTTAAAACCCCCCCAAGAAATGGAGAGCCATATCCCAAGCCCTGGAATACTCAAAATTTGGGAGTCAAACCCCCAAAACCTTTGACTGCTTTGGGAGTCAACTCTCAAAAGAAGATATCAAAAAAAGCAAACCCAGGTTGGTTTAGGAGTTGATCCTCCAGAACCAACCTGGGTTTGGGGTTTGACAAAGCAAAAGAACCCCACGTAAGAGGCCAGTAGGATTGTTTCCGGCCACTGAGAGTACAGTCTCAACAACCAGGAGTGTACCTCTCAGCCGTAGAGAGTGTCACCTTGATGGTCAAGAGTAATCCTCTTGGCGGTTGAGGGTATACACTCTCAACCAGCTGTTATGGGTATAATCTCTACCAGCTGTTGAGGCTATACAATCTCAACCAGCCGTTGAGGGTATCTGCATACACTCAACAGACCAGCCGTTGTGGTAATTATTCCTGTGTTTCTACGCCAAAAATAT